AGTAAACAATTATGTATAAACAAGGATAAATAGGAAATGAGAATAAACAATAAACTGAATAATTACATTATGCAATTATACAAAATAAATTAACTAGTAATAAATAATTAAGAGAATTAAGAGAGATTGGGAAAACCTTAAATTTAATTTTAAAAACATGTTGCCTGGATAACCTTCTTGTTTAGAGGCAGCATGGTTCATGCAACCAATAGAGGGCTAGCCCACGGGATCAAGAAGATCTGAGTTCAAGTGCTGCCTCTGATACTTAGTACTTATGTGACCTTGGGGAAAGTCACCTCACCTTTCCGACCCTCAGCCTTTCTCATCTGTAAAATGGAGAAAAGAGCTTTCATCACATAGGATTATTGCAAGATTTGAAATGACATAGTGTATAGTAAGTTTTTGCAAACCTTGATGCATCAAATAAATGTGAGCTATCATTTACTTAGGAAAGCCTAGATATAAAGCAGGGGTTCTTTTAAAAAATAAATTTTTATTCACAGGTTTTGTTTTACATTGCCTAAATTTATCCCTCTACTTCTACCCCTACACCCTTCTAGAGAGCCATCTTATAACAAAAAAAAATTTTTAAGGAAAAAGAGAAAGAAAAGAAAAAACAATCAACAAAACTGATAAAAAAAAAAAACATATACAATGTTTCACACCAATGAAGCTTAGGTGTCTTCTCTCCATTGGGGCCTTGCTTGTTCTTTGTTATTTTATAACATTCACCTTTGATTTTTTCACCATTATTGCTCTTCCGCTTTACACTATAGCCATTATTTACATTGTTTCCTTGGTTCTGCTAATTTCACTCTGCATCACTTCATGCAAGTTTTCTCACACTTCTCTGTATTCATCATATCCATTGTTTCTTACTGCACAATAATATTCCATTACATTCATGTACCACAATTTGTTAAAGCTATCATTATTATTGTTATTCGTAACCTGGGTCAGCAATTTTTTTTTTTTACTGCTTTGATAACTATATTTCAACATAATTGATTTCTTTTGTAATCTTAGGTATTTTATTTTATACATTTAAAAGTATGATTTCTTTTATTAATTTATTTTGATTTATCAATAATCATTTCCATATGCTTTTGAGTTTAAAATTTTTCTCCCCCTTCCTCCCCACCACCCTCCCCAGGATGGTGCACAATCTGATATAGGCTATACATTTACATTCCTAGTAAACATGTTTTCACATTAGTGATGTTGGAAGTAGAAATTTAAACCAATAGGAGGAACCATCAGAAAGAGGAAACAAAACTCAACAGAAGAGAAAAAAATAGCAGTTTGACTTCCATAGTTCTTTCTTTGGATGTGGATAGCATTTTCCATCACAAGGCCTCTGGAGATGTCTTAGATCCTTGTATTGCCAGAAAGGGTTAAGTTCATCAATATTAGTCATCACACAACATCGCTGTTATTGTGTACAATGTTCTCTTGGTTCTGGTCACTTCACTCAGCGTCAGACCATACAAGTCTTTCCAGGTTTTTCTGAAGTCAGCTTGTTCATCATTTTTTATA